GAAAAGCTGGGGTGAGATGTCTGCTCTGGCAGCCATGAGGTCGAGAAGCAGGTCAAGGAGGAACTCCGTGTCCCAGGGCAGTGAGAGGAGGGAGGGAAGGCTCTGGCCAGCAGCAGGGGCTGGGATACTGGGTGGCAGCTGCCTGCAGGCTGTGGCCTCATTGCTACTCAGTCTGTCTCCCATCCTCAGCTCCCCCAGGGCTTTGTGCTGAGCAAGCCCTTAGCAGGTGTGGGCTGAACCCTCACTACCACCACTTCCAGCCCCATCCTGTGCCAAGCAGGGCTCCCTCCTCTGCCCACCCTCATCTGGAAGGGACAACGAGCAGCAGAACATGAGGCCCGGTGCCAGACTAGACATCAGGTCCTAATACAGAGCAGCCATCCCCGAGAGAGACAATACCCAGCTCCACCCCTCCCCTTGTCCTCACTGATCTTCAAGGTACTTGAAGCTACTGGAGGCCATACCCAGCAAGCAGGTCACTGTGGCCTCACAGCAAGCAGCCTGCCGGAGGGCAGCTCAGAAGGGCAAAAAGATTCAGAGAAAGGTGGAGTGACCTGCCCAAGGTTGCACAGGAAAAGCCCAATAGGAAGACTTCTGTGTGTGAGCAAGGAGGGGAGCAGTATTAGCCTTTAGGAGGGCTGACATTTTCAGCAACTTGGAGTCCAGCTGTGCAGGGGAGGACCTGGATTACTAATGCCACCAGGGCTAAGGGACCACTCCTAGTCTATCCTGGCTATGGCAGAAAAAACACACGCATATGGATGCTACAGTCCCAAACACACACACATACACACACACACACACACACACACACACACACACACACACACACACACACACACACGCTACAATCCTAAACACACACATCCAAGGGCAGCCCTGGCTGCACTGGCACAGCCCCATGGCACACACCCCTTGGGCAGGAGGTTGACAAGAGGGGGATACAATGCCTAGAGGCCCTGACTGGCCTAAGAGGAAGACAGGCTTCCTTCCCTATGTTCCCTCCCTCAATCCATGCTGGGATCCTACCCTGAGAGAAACTACATTTATCCCTCCCTCCTGGGAGATGGATAAACAGTGAGGTACCCCACTTTCAGTGAAAACCCCAGCTGAAGGTCTTTGGGCTGACTGCATTTTGGGCCCCAAGAAAGGCCTAGCTAAGGGAACAGCTGAGCAGGGGATGAGGAGAACGACACGCACCCTCCTCCTTCCTAGGCCTGGGCTCTGGGAAGACAGGGAGGAGGAGGGGACCACATCCCCCTATCTAGACAAGTTCTCAGCCAACATGTGGAAGGAAAATCTGTAACCACCCTCTCAGGTTCCTGTCCCAACTTTTCTATTGATTGCTTCTAACTCCAACCCCCCCCCACCTCACAAATTGCAACAAAATATGTATAAGAACTATGGCTTTTACACTGTGTTCCTTAGAGTCTGTCAGGAGGTGGCTGCTGTTGAGTTCTTACTGAGCTGCAAGAGGGCAGAGTGGGGTTGGGCGGGGGTGTGAACAGATTGTATCCACAGCTTCCAGGGCAGGATGGAGACTTTTCCTTGGGCTTCTTATCTTTCTCTCCAGTCCCCAAATCCAAAACACAGGAGGCAGGCATGGGGGTGGGGAGGAGTGTCCTTCCCTGCGCCCCCTACTGGAAGAAGTCAGAGGCAGGGTCTCCAGCAACCAGGACAAGATTCAACAAGGGCATGGAGACCCCAATACTCTTCCCACGCCCCAGAATGTCCCCCACAATCTCCTTCTAAAGCTGCCTGTCTGGAGGGTTGGAAACAGGCCTGCTTTGCAGCCCAGGATAGTTCTCCTGCACTGTGACGTTCACCTTCTATCCTTTGTCAATGCAAGCTACCACTGCTGTATGTCAGTCCAGACCAAGACTTTTAGGTGCAGATAAAGTCCTGACCCACAGTAGGTGCCCTGCCGCTTCCTCGTCTCCTGGGTCACGTGCCAGGCAGCACACACCTGGATGTGCTAGACTAGCTTGGCCCTCTTAGGTATCTGGTAATGTCCCTGTGTTACAGACGGGGAGACATGCCAAGAGATCAACACATAAGTGACAGGATGGCCAAGTTTTTAACCTCCGAAGCCCAAGGAATTCCAAGGGTGCAAAAGACAACAAAGTCTACCACTTGTCCTCAGGCCGGGAAAATCCAAGAACATTAGAGACACTGCTCTTCTTTTCCCAAACACAAGCTGAAGGAAGGTAACACACACACACCCCAAGCCATTAAACCAGGACACCTCTGCCCTAAACCATGCCCCCCATACACAGTCTCAGAATACTCAGAATACAGGCTGACACTCCCCTCCCTAGCTCTGGATTTAATGCTCTTCAAACACTGAATTCTAGAACCCTCTCATCCTGTATACACAAGCCATTAATTCCCCTTCTCACCATACTCAGCTTTGACCCTTCCGCCCAAAGAACACACAACTCTGACCCTCCTTAAACTGCACACAAGTCTAAACCTCCACAGTAAACACACCAGGCCTTGGGGGTCGACCACAAAAGGCACAGGTGTCTAGTGCTATCTCTGGGGCCTCCACCCTGGTTCTCTAGGAGACTAGCAGGAGGTCAGGACAATGCCTAACCTCCCCACGCTGACCTAAAGAGTGCTTGGCCCACCCACGGGTCACCTTTTCTCTGAAGAGCTCATGCAAAACACCTAAGGTGCAATCTAGCAAGATGGCCAGGAAGGGGGAGGCCACCGCCAGCAGCCCTGTGATGTGGGGCTGGAGCAGGGAGCCTAGGTCACCAGAGCGTCATCACTGCTCCATGAAGAAATGAAGAAAAGCCACGGCTGCCCACCTCCAGGAACTGCCTGACCCCTGTCCTAGTCCCAAGGAGAGGCTAAAGGTGTAAAATTCTAGCTGCTTCCCTGGTCCTAGAAGGTCCTGGAAGGCGCTCAGAGGCTGGGGAGTAGCTAGGAAGAGATGTTGTTGTTTACCAGGGGAGGGGAGGGGTGGGAAACCCACAAGCCCACAGAGGAGGGGGCAGGAAGAGGGCATTGCCTAACCTGGGTGGAGAAAGCCAAAGAAGGCTGCCATTTGCCCGAAATATGGGCACCCCACCCTGGGAGTAGGTTACCAGGGTGGGGGCTCTCCCCACCCACCTCTAAGAAAGAGGAAGGAGTTTGCAACACTCAGGGGGAAGAAAGAAAATTTACTTTGTTTCTCACAGGGGTCAGATCCCAAATCCCCTTGCAGCCCTCCAGTGAGCCTGTCTGTCCAGACCCTTGTTGCTTGCCATGGCATGGAAAAGGACAAGCGGTTCACAGGTACCAGCTTGCAGACCCCCTAACTCCAGCCTGGAGGAAAGGAATTCTCCCAGCTCCTGGGATGGGTGACAATGTGAGCTCTATCTAGCTCCCTTCAGATGCGGGGAGCATTTTTGTTTGTTTTGTTTTTCAAGACAGGGTATCTCTGTATAGTCCTAACTAGCCTGGAATTTGCTCTGTAGACCAGGCTGGCCTTGAACTCAGAAATCCACCTGCCTCTGCCTCCAGAGGGTTGGGACTAAAGACATGCCCCACCACCACCAGGCTGCAGGGAGTATTTTTACATAGGCGCAACTGGCCCAATCCCCAGCAACACTGGTCTCCCCAACAGCAGACACTAGAAAACCAGAACAGAACAGGGCTCTCAGACGCTCCTGTGTAAGGTGGAGAGAAGAAAAGGTAGAAATAAAAGGCAAAGGCTTGAGGAGGTGCTAGCAGGGGGAAACTGAGGCAGTACCTGTCTGTTCACGAGTCCCACAGCATAAGGGATTGGAGACATAAAGGAACATGGGCATAGACTATCTGCTCCTGAAGGCTGGTGGGGCCTGGAAGGGAGGGGGCTGCGACAAAGCCAGAGGCAGCGGTCCAGGAAGCAGTGTGGCTGTGGGCAGAGGGCCAGTTGTGGGCAGCGAGGCGCCCAGCCAGAGCCTGCCCCAGGGACAAAGAGACTCCCTGGCTCCGGGGACAGAGTGCTGCCCCCACACCAAGAAGGGGGCACTGACCCAGCCCAGCCGGGCATACAGGGCAGTGGTGCCAGGCAGCTTGCCAATGGCTGTGGGAGGGGCAGTGGGTGCCAGGCAGGGTGCTTAGTTCCTGCCAACCAGGAGAGGTGGGACACATTTCCCAGGTCAGCAGCTGACCAGCCAGCCAGCCAGCTTCCACCCCCTCCTGCCCCAGACCAGGCCCAGCTCCCTCCTCCTAGGCCCTGGCCCGGAGCCCAGCTGGGCCCTGGGGGCCAGAGTTACTGTAAACCGCCTGGCAGGCCCCAAGCCTGGACTTTGCCAGCTGGCCGTAGCCACTGCCACCTCCCACTACCTGGCCTGGCCAGCTAGGGAAGGGTACTGAGACCCCCCCCCCCCCCAGCCAACGTGTGACCCTATGGCAGAGGGTGGAGGCAGAAAACACAGGCCCTGCCAAGCCTGCGCATGTGTCCAAGGCCAGAGTCCAGGCAGAAAGCCCCCGTGGAGTCCCTCCCTGTCCTTCTGGGGGGCGGGGGAGTTGGCAGGGGGAGTGTAAGGGCTCCAGCTGTGTTGAGCTGCCCTGGGCTGTCTCTTGAAGCCCTTCCCCTCAGAGTGCTGGAAGCGGGTGGGGTGGAGGTGGGGTTCACTCTCACTGTGTGGAGCTGTCATTTCCACCAAATGCTGAGAGGTTTGTTTACCCACCTCGGCCTCTACATCCATTCCTCCTCAGAGCTATTTATAAGGCTCTCAACAGCACAGCACCAGGGACACAAGGGACAAAGGGGGACAACAACGCAGGAAGGAACAAAATGGTTTCATCTCTCCTCTGCCGCCCCAATATCAAACAGCCACTGATTGGCTAACAGCAGTGGGACCACGTTCAAGCACCCCCATACACATGATGCCCCCCTAGTCTAGAAAAGACCTTATCCCTCGCTGTGACTGTGCCTCCAGCAGAACAGGTGTGTCTAGGAACCCAAATCCTGAGGCCTGCCACCCTCCACAGCCCTCCCCTCAAGCCTCCCCACCCAGACTTACTGGCTGGGGATGGCGTGCTGTATCCGCTAACTGGAAGCTGGTGCTGGAGACTGGTGAGAGCTCCTGGAGGGGAGAGTCCACCCAACATAGGGGGGAAGAAGAAGGCGTAGGGGGGCACCGGGTACCCATTGAGGTGCCCGCCCCCAGGTGTTGGGCAGGAGCTGCTATTGCTGGCCATGCCAAGCAATCACAGTCAGAATGGCAGGCAAACAGTCTGGCAGGTGACTGAGGTGGGCTTCATGCAGTCTCTCCTCCTCCGGGCATGGGGCCTGGGCCCAGAGGGGGTTTGGGTGGTCAGGCCACCCCCACCCCTCCTGTCCCTGGAGTTGTAGTCCAAAGTTAGTTACTTTCAGCCTTCCGGAGCCCCTCCCTAGCCAGGGGCCAGGTGGACTGGGGGATGTCCCAAGAGTCGGTCCTTTGGTTAAGCAGTTTTGTAGGATGGTCCAGAGCTGGTCTTCAGGGTGTCAAAAAGGATGGCCCTCTCAGAAGGGCCCCGGCTAGGCAGCTGGGGGGTGGCATGGCCTGCGGTGCTGCAGAAAGAGGAAAGACAGGTAAGTGGGCACTGAGCAAGCGCATGGGATTCCCCACGGCGGGCGCTCCCCAACCTGGGCAGCCAGAGGTTTTCCTGTGGCACCCAGCTGAGCAGACACCTGGCACCATGCCTGGCTGGCAAGGCCAGCCTAGGACCAGGGCCCAGACGCTGCTGGGGGTGGCAGGAGAGCACAGCCAGACGGGGAATATAGGGACAGGGCCCAAAGCACAGGAGGGGCCCTCACCCAGAATGTGTGGGAGAGGGTCCACAGTGCCACCCAAAAGATCAGTGCAGCTGAGGCAGGCAGCTGGCTCTCCTTCCCCCAGTGCAGGTTACCTGAGGTCAAGATACAGAGAACGTGTGCTGGCAGGGAGGGGGAGAAGCCGCTTCCCTAAAGCATTGGCACTTCTCAGAAAATGACTCCTGGGTGGGAGGGGGGCTCTCACACCACTTCCCCCCAAACCTAAGACCCAGCATCCCAGATCAGTACATCCCTCCTTGAGGAGGAGGCCCAATTTCATATATGCACTCAGGAAAATGGATCTCCAGGTCTCCTAGGCAACGCCTCCAATACCAAACCATACCGGTGGCCCCGGGAAGCCCTAAGTCAGGAGGGCAAGGCTTGCCCAGGATGGAAGTGCCTGCCCCCAGCATAAAGAGAGACAGAATCCAGACTTCCATACCTCCATCTGCAAAAGCGACACGCAGGAGATGAGGTGGTGAGCACAGGCCATGCGAGACCAGATGCTCCCAGATCACACAGACCCACACCCTATTTGAACAGCTGAGGCCAGAGGACATACACGAATCACACCTTGGGGTACAGACACAGCTGTGACCTACAGATTCTGTGACCACAGCCAGGTAGGCGGCAGCAGAACAGAAAAAAAAGAAGCAGAGCTAAGGATTCTTCAAATCCGTTTGTTGATTATACGCAAGTACATACACATGGATAGGGACATGTGTTGAAAATAAATATGCAGGGGCCGGGCGGTGGGGGTGCATGTCTTTAATCCCAGCTCTAGGGAGGCAGAGACAGGCCGATCTCTGTAAGTTCAAGACCAGCCTGGTCTACAAGAGCTAGTTTCCTGGAGGCTGTTGGTCCAGCCCAGCTATACATATATTTATATATCACATATCATACATATAATAGAAGAGACACAAAAAAATTGCAGCCAATCAAAACCAGGTCTTTCTTCCTTCTGGTCTACAGAGTGTGTGCCAGGATAGGCTCCAAAGCAACACAGAGAAACCCTGTCTCGAAAAACAAAAACAAAAAAAAGAAGTACTGGTTGAGAATATGCAGAAATGAGTCCACACACTGCTACTGGAAGTGTCAAACACTAACTGCTTTGTAGAACAGCTGAGCAGTTCCTCAAACACTTAAACATGGCACTAGCACACATAGCAAGTCCACTCTCAGTATCTACCCAAGGAACAAGAAATCCTGCCCAAAAAAGTTTGTGTGAACATGATCAGGGCAGGATCACAGATCAAAACTGAGCGGTGAAACCAACCTGAATGTCTAAAATGGTGGACACCCAAGACACTAGAGAACAAAGAACTATCGCACAAACATGGCCAAACCTTGAGAACAATACAGTTGCTGAAGAGTGTATGCTGTATGATTCGACTTCTAAGAATGTCCAGGAGGAGCAGATCTGCATGCATAGATTTGTGGTTACTAGGAACTAGGGTTGGGTGTGAGGGAAATGAGAAGTTGCTGCTAAGGGTATGGGGGTGGTGAAGACGCTTTAAAATCGGTGGCGGCGGCGGCTGCATGACTATAAACGTGAAAACTACGCGATTGTGTGTGCTCCTTGTCTTTCTGGCTTTTTAAAAAAGGTCTCACTCACTCTGGTTGGTACTGAACTTGCAATCTTTCTGTCCCAACCTCCAGAGGACTAAGATGATAGGTGTACACCACCCATGCTGGGCTTAAACTGTATACTTTCATGGGTACATTTTGTGGTGAGTTAATATCTCAGTAAAGCTCTTTAAAAGAAAAAAAAGAGGCCAGGCGTTGGTGGCGCACGCCTTTAATCCCAGCACTTGGGAGGCAGAGGCAGGCGGATCTCTGTAAGTTCGAGACCAGCCTGGACTACCAAGGGAGTTCCAGGACAGCCTCCAAAGCCACAGAGAAACCCTGTCTCGAAAAAAACCAAGAAAAAAAAAAAAAGAGCTACAGAGGCCTAAAGTAACAATTGTCCCTTTCCAACATTCTCACTTTGCCCTACTCCCCAAACTTAGGACATTCCAAGCTCTAAGCTCCAAGCTCCAGGCTTAAACCTGCAGACTGGGGCCCCATACATAACCAGCGTTTGGCTGGGGACCAGGATGAGAATGGGGAGGTTCTGGCCAAGGCCACTGTGGAAGAGCAGTCAGTCCACTGTCCCAGTCTGTATCTTCTGAGGACTCAAGACAGGGAGAAAGGAGGCAGGTAGCGGCCACAGAAGCAACAGCTGCCAGTTGTGTGGAATCTGCACTGTGTCAGTGGCCATGGTCTCCACCGTAATTTGTCACACCAACCACTGGGCCTCACTCCTGGATGAGGTGTCCCCTTCCCTTCACAGACTGATGACAGAGAAAAACGGGGCTCCACCTACAGGGCCAGCTGCCTCTCTGTCCCCCATCTCCTATGGGGTCCCATACAACAGGAACATGGGCTGCAAGGGCCAGGCCTAAGGAGGAGAGCTGGCTGGCCTATCAACAACGTGGACCCTCATACGGATACCCCCACGCTTGCAGAAACTCTCACATGCAAGTCTACAGAAACCATCAGTTCAGGCCTTGTGTGCATGGGCTCCTCTATGCACTCCCAGAAGACATGCAACCGCTGCCATCCAGCCTCCCAAGGTGCTCCTTTTGTTCCCAGCCTTGCTTACCAACAGGCCGGCTTCTCATGCTAGGAGATGCTCCAAGGCCATCCCTGTAGGCCAGCCCCAAACTGTGGCCCCCAACATCAACATGTACCAGGATTCCCCAGCCCTGAAGTGGTCATGTCTACATAGAGGGTTACCTCCCTATAGGTGAAGCCTAGAGAGGCAGCTGACCAGAGAGAGGCCATCAGAGCTATGGCTGAACCCTGAAAGCTACTCACTCCAAACCCAAGGCATCCTGGCCTTGGGGGTGGGTGACACCTGGCTCGGGCTTTTCGAGGACCAGACTTTCACATTCTAGAATCCAGCTTTGCCCACACAGAAGACTAGTGGTATCTACCTTAGAACAAATGCCTCAAGTCTCGCCCTGAAGAAGTTAAAACTGCATCAGGCTTCAAACCACCAGCCTATCCTGAAAACACACACCTTGGGGAGAGTCTGCAAGGCCTCAGAGCCTCTAGTATCCCAACCCAGCAGGGCCTCCACACTTCAATACAAAGTTGTTCAGCTCCCTGAGGGAAGAGGGAAGGCTCTCTGATGAGGGCGGGGACAAAGGTCACAGAAATGGGCCAAGGGCCAAGCTGACCAGGGAACAGGGATAGGCAAGGGCAAAGATGATGAGGCGGGGCTGCCACGGAGCTTTGGCAGCCATGACCCTCAAGAGACACCAATGAATGCCCTGGCCCTTTGTGCCCAGGCCAGAGACTCTGAACCAGCACCAAAGAGGGAAAACAAGCTGCCCACATCTAACCCCCACCCTCTGCCAGCAACCTCCACTGTTCACAGGCACCTACCCTGAGCTAGAAAACCACAGACCCGTACCTGCAATCCATTGAGCCAGCAGAAAAAGCAAGAGTGTGGTGTGCTGCCACCAGCCACGCACCCCTCCTTACCGAGCTCTTTAATCCCTAAAATGTATCCTGATCAGTTGTCGCCCTCAGACACACACACACACACACACACACACACCATGCACATCACTCCAGAGCTACACACTTTAGGGGGGGGGAAAAGGTGAGAGCTTCAACAGCCGTGAAGATGGGAAAGAAAAACCTAGAGGTCTGAGGAGTCCAATCTCAGCTCTGCCACTCTGGGTGACCTTAGGCGAGTGGCTTAACCTCTCTAAGCATGTTTATTTGCCTGTGAACTGTCTCCCTTGACAAACGAGGTCCTGGAAAGCACCTAGCACTGCCTGGTGCAGGGAAGGCACTTAAGTCCTCTCTCTCTCTTCTCTCTCTCTCTCTCTCTCCCTCCCTCCCTCCCTCCCTCCCTCCCTCCCTCCCTCCCTCCCTCCCTCTCTCTCTCTCTCTCTGTGTGTGTGTGTGTCCATCCTGATCTCTTTCCATCACCTGGGCTCCTTGCCTCCTGTCCCCTTGCCTTGTCCCAACCAGGGCCCCACATCTGTGAACAAGGCTAGCAGGGAACATTACCCATTTTTCTGGATCTGCTTCCTCCCAGACGGAGGGTAGGGTTGTGGGGAGAGGGCTATCTGGGGTGTGGGCAGAGGCCTGACCACAACCCTTTCCCAAATTCCCTTCTTGCATTTCGCAAACCAAAAAAGGGAAATCTTTGGATGTGGGGAGGGAAGAGAAATAGACCATTTCCTCCCGTGTCCTGGGGAGAGAGAACGCAGAGGCCCCCAAACCTAGCTGAGCCAACCTCCCTTCTTGATTCATCCCCTCCACTCTGCGCTCCCTCAAAAGGAGGGTTCTCCAGAGACCGACGTCAAGCAGTTCCCTCTGTTTTATTTGCAGTCTTTTTTTTTTTTTTTTTTTTTTTTTTTGATTTTTCGAGACAGGGTTTCTCTGTGGCTTTGGAGGCTGTCCTGGAACTCACTCTGTAAACCAGGCTGGCCTGGAACTCACAGAGATCCGCCTGCCTCTGCCTCCCGAGTGCTGAGATTAAAGGCGTGCGCCACCACCGCCCGGCTATTTGCAGTCTTTGAACAGGGTCTGCCACCCAAGCTGGCCTCAGACTAGCTAATGACCTTGAGTTTCTGATTCTCCGGCTGCCACTTCCAGAATCCTGGTGCTACAGCCATACACCACCATGACAGGTCTGCATGGTGCTGGGGACAGAACCCAGGGTTTCCTGCCCGCCAGGCAAGCACTTTACCAAC